AACCGGCCCTCGCTGCAGAGGAGGCAGGCGGAGGCGTTCCGGTCGCTCGTCAGCCTGGTGTCGCACGCCACGCAGCGTGCCATCCCCTCCGCGCTGTAGTGCCCCTCGGAGCAGGCGTAGCAGCCGGTCGCACCCGAGCTGTTGGCGAAGGTCCCAGCAGGGCAGAGGCTGCAGCGAGTCCGACCCGCACCGTCTGCAAACTCGCCGGGCGTGCAAGGCAGGCACTGCTCCAGCCGCGAGGCGCCGTTCTCCGGGCCGTGGCTGCCCGCGGGGCAGGGCAGGCACGCCTCGACCGAGCTCGCGCCCGGCTCTGGGTTGTACGAGCCCGCCGGGCAGAGGGATCGCACTGTGCCTGTGGTGGCACCTGCGTCAGTGCAGTAGCCTCCCCGGCCGCACCGCTCACATGCGGCCAGGCCGGGCGAGTCGGCAAAAGTGCCCGGCGGGCACATGCCGCAGCTTTCGGAGCCTGTCTCGTTGGCGACGTGGCCGAGGGGGCAGAGGATGCAGTCGTCGCGGCTGTCCATGCCGCCGTACGGGAGGAAGCTGCCTTGTTGGCACGGGCTGGGCTCGATCGCCCCCGCCTCGCAAAAGTGGCCCGAGGGGCAACGGTCGCAAGCCACGGCGCCGCTGGCGTTGGCGTAGCTCCCCGGCTCACAGGGTGAGGGCAGGCTTCGCAGCGCGCCTCCGGGCAATGCAGAGCAGGCGTGGCCGACAGAGCACGGCAGACACGCGTCCTCGGAGGCCTGGCCAGTGGCGTTCGAGAAGCTGCCGGCGGGGCAGCGGACGGGGGCAGCGCTGCCGGCGGGGCAGTAGCCGCCGGCCGGGCACGGCACCGGCTCAACGTTGGCGTGGCCGCTGCAGAAGGCTCCGGCAGGGCAAGGGCCCGCGCACTGAGCGCTGCTCTGCTCGGCGTCAGCGGTGCCCCCGAGCCTGCCGGGACGACATGCGGTCGGGAAGGTCTCAAAGTACTTGACGCCCTGGTAGAAGGTGAAGAGCCGCTCGCCCAGCAGCCACGGGCTGGCCCGCCAGTTGCACGGCTGCTGCCACGCTCCGAGCGGGGCCGTGCAGTGCGGCCCTCCCTCCGCGCGGAGCCGGCACTCTGCGAAGTGCGCCTCGCACGCCGCGTCGGCGGGGCACGCCTCTCGCGCGACGTGGCAAGTGTCCTGAAGCGGTAGGTGGAGCCAGTAGCCGGGCGGCGCCGGCAGCGCGTAGTAGACTGCGCCGCTCAGGACGTGGAGCGGCTCCACTTCTGACTGGTTCCACGCGAGTCCCTCTGCGCCCGAAGGGTCGAGGAGGCTGCCGTTGCCCAGGAGAACCTCTCCGCCGGCGCCCTCGTCGAGCCTGCCCACCGCCAGCAGCGACGCGGCCAGCTGCGCGGTGCAGCCGCGTAGCGACGAGCCGGTCAACCGAACGGCCGCCGCCTTGGTGACCACGCACCCTCCCGCGAGGTCCGCCTCGCACCGCGCCACCTCGCTGTCCTCGAGGGATCCGCGCCCGGCGTCGAAATGGAGCCCGCCGCCGATGACAGAGTAGCACCTGTCGACTGTCGTGCCGACGAGCCTCGCATCCCCGGCCTCGACGCTTAGCCCGCCCCCGCGCGGCGCCGTCGCCCTCCAGTCGGCCTGGTCGTACCACCCAACCACGCCGAGCCGGTCAGGGCCTCCGGCGACGCTCGAGGTGCTGACGAGGGTAGTGCCGCAGCGGCGGAGGCGGCAGCCGTCGAGCACGAGGTCGCCTCCCCCCATCCAGACTGCTCCACCCGCAGCGGATGCGAAGCAGCCCTCCAAAACTGCCGTTCGGACCGCCGCGCTGCTCTGGTTGCCCTCCAGAGCGATCGCCCCGCCGAACTCTGCAGAACAGCGGATGAAGCTGCCGCCGCGGGCATCGAGGTGGCCATCGCGCACGAGGATGGCGCCACCGCGGCCAGCCGGAGCGGAGCAGTTGGATACGTTGACGTCGGTGAGGGCCAGCTCACCTCCACTCTCCACTAGCGCCGCGCCACCACCCACGCCGTCGGCGGTGCAGGTGCAGTGCAGGTGCAGTGCCGCCAGTCTGAGCCGGCCGCCGTTGACTCGAAACAGGCGTGGGCCCGAAGAGACCAGCTGCGCATCGCCACTGCCGCGCAGCGTTACGTCGGTCGCTATCTCAAAAGTCGAATCGATTTCGATGGTGCCGGCAAGACGGAGAAAGACTGCCGGCCGAGCTGCAGCTGCGGCGAAGGCGCTTTGCAGCTCCTCGGCACTTGTGATTAGCAGCTCCCGCTGAGGCTGCGGAAGCTGAGGCGGAGTAACTGAGACCGTGGCAAGTATCGAAAGGGCCGTGACAGGCATCGAAAGGGCTGTGGCTGTGACAAGGACCAGCCGACCACAGAGCACAATTTGGGCGGCACCTTGAAAAAAATATAACTATGTGGTACACACGGATTGCTGATATTGTTGAGCCGCGGCCGCGGTGGCTGTTGCTGCAAATTGCACAAGCTCATCACTTACACTGCGTGGTTCGTCACGGTTCTCCACCGGCATGGGCGGACACGAGGTGAGACGCTCGAGCGCACACACCGCATCTCCACAAATCGCGCTTGAACGTTGAGCTGCCGTGCCCATCACGTGCGTGGGCGTCACCCGGTCCCTCGCCCCTCTCAGCCGCACAGACCTCCACGCTCTCCCCGCTCTCGCACACACTTGTGGGACTCCGTGGGACCCTGACTGAGCCTCGAATCGACTCTTGACAGAGCGCGACCCCTCCGTGCGTCGCCCCCGTATCACCCCACGCCAGGCTTGGTACTCCCCACAGCGGGCGGCACGCGGCACGCACCAAGTAGTATGCGGCCACCACTTGCGACGTACGAGAGTGCCCTTGCCGCCTTCCCCCTTAGTATAGTCTGCGCCGCGGTGAAGCAGCCCGGCGGGTCCCATTGAGATGATCGAGCACGGCGCGCTGCATCAGGGCGGGCGGTGTCAGCGAGCGACCAGGCTGGCATCCGGGCCAGGGAGGGGCGTCGCTGAGCAGGCTGCTATCACTGGTGGTGGCGTGGCGGCAGGCTCGGCCGGGGCCGCTGCGCACCTCTCGTCGGGCTTGCGAAGCTGCTTGCGATGGCCTCCGCGAAGTATTCAAGTTTAGGGACGACCGAAAAGCCCGGCTTGCTTCCGCAGTAGTTCCGCGCTTATATAGTAGCTCGTAGTCTAGCGCCAGGACAGACGGAATGATAATCGATGCTGGGCCTTTTGGGCGCCACGATAACGCCAGTTCAGCCTGAGAAATTCCGTCGCCGAGCAAGCAAACTTTACTTGCTGATGCCGCTCATCAAGAGTAATGAGATTAGGCGGACGGGGTAATGCGATGGGGGGGGGGGGGGGGGGGTTCGGACAGGGTTCGGAGCTGGCTGGTTGTGCGCGGCGGTTGAACTGGTTGACTGCGGTGTATGTGTCAATGTGTGGCGAGGGCCGCTCGCTCCTCCCTCACCGCCCACCACAGCCCCGCCTCGAGCAAAAGAAAGCAACGGCCGCTGGCCGGGGCTGCCGTATTACTACTAGCTCCGGGGAACTTGTGAGAGCGCGTTCGAGTGATGAATGGCGGCTGCCCGGGGCTGCCGTCACCGCCCGTGGTTGATAGTCGAGGATTTCTTGGGAAGCCCGGAGAGAGGGAGAGGAACGCACCGGCACCGCCTCTCCGCGCTCCTCTGATCCGCTCCGCGCCTTTCTGATCCGCTCCGCGCTCCTCTGATCCGCTCCGCGCTCCTCTGATCCGCTCCGCGCTCCCTGATCCGAGCTCCTCCGCTCCGCGCTCCTACGCTCCGGCTCCTCCAGTGATGATCAATCAGGACAGACCTCCTTCTTCTCCGCCTCGCCCCTTGCCCGCGTCGACTCCTCGCCAGCGAAATATGCAGAACGCCGCCTCGGCGTCTGTCGGCGCTGTCGTGACGTCGCTCTTCGTGACGCCGTTCGAGGTGTTGAAGGTGCGGCAGCAGGCGTGCGGCAGCGCGGCGGAGTGCGGGATGGTCCAGCTGGGGCAGACGCTCGTGCGGGCAGAGGGCGCGACGGCCTTCTGGGCAGGGCTTCGCCCGACGCTCCTTATGGCTGTGCCCTCCACTGTTCTCTACATGGGCGCCTACGAGCACATCCGCGACGCGATCCAGGCGGCGGCGGCGCGCCGCCGCAACGGCGGCGGAGGCGCCCTGGCGAGCCTCGCCCCCAT